TCGGACCAATGAGAACGGTCGGCGTCGTCTCCCCCTCTCCACAGGTTTCCCGCGATCGGGACTCTTCGGTGGCGATATTGCGCGCGAGTCTGGACAAACATTTGGGCATTCGGCATTCCGTCGTCGAGAGTCCATGAGTGTGGTTGCGCATTGCACAGTGTCACTGTAGACCGAATGCGGCCGAGTTATTTCATTGCCTATTGACGAGAGACAACCATGATTTATGCGGAGTTTGGGGAACGCGGCGACCGGCAGCCGGCGGTGGAAGAGGATGAGCAACCGCGGGTTTTTCAGATACGCGGGCACCTGGTGCACGGCATACCGCGAGTCGGAGACTCAAACTACGACCCAGCGTGTCCCACGTGTAACCCGGGCTCGATCAACGACCTGGGCACACCGACCGCGRACGTGGTAACGACGTCTTCGCCGCCAGCAGCCATGGCCACCGCGGTAGCGCTCCCGGGCCCTATCCCGGCGACCGACGACTACGATTATTATAACGGACAGCAACAGGGCATCGGCTCGCCGGCTTTAATGCGTCCATACGGGAAATATTTTTTAAAAAAAAAAAAAAAATTATGCATTTTTAAATGCGATATTATGTTTACTATTAACTATAACTTATAAGAATGTACTTATCGTTAGGAGCGTGGTTAATTTCTATTCTGATTTGTCGTCTGGTGTATGCCATGTAAAAGCACAACATATTTTAGATTCTGAGYTGAGCTATTTGTTTCATTGTAATTGACAGTACAAAGGTTTTTGATTTTTCTTCGACCTTAATATGATGTTTTACTAACTTATTTTCCTTAACTTTTATTGCAAGTTGTTATTGTTTTCTARAAATATTTAAAAACAATTTAAAAATTAATAAATGTAAAAAAAAAATTCTATTTTGCTTGAATTTGAGTTTTATATTTTGTTTAATATCGAAATGAACTTATGTAGTCCATACACGTATATTCGCCTTTCCTGAATATGTTCCGCAGTTATGACATATTTGATGGTATCTTTTTAGCTGTCCATACATATAATAMACAGTTATATGTACCTACGTATAGATAACTTTGATATTAAGATAAGAAATTATCGAAAGAATTTKCATCATTAATATTACTTATTTATCAATGATATTAATTTTAATGCTCATCCACGCTCTACTTATTGCTATAAACTTGTACGTTATAAACATTATTATATTTCACAATATTTAATTATAAATCACATTTGATGAACACGGAAGAGACGAGTTATTCACACGCGTTGTTTAGTCCTGTTCACATTAAATTTTATATTTTTTTTATGGATCTATAATGACTATGACTATAAAATAAATAATAGCGATATTAATTGATATTATAAGTTATCGCTAATTTATTTTAGATGAATTATTATTATAATTGGTATTTAATTATTAGACATTATTAGAAATTATTATTGTTAAATGTTTATTATTTTAGCGTGGTTTTATTTCATAGTATGCCAGATATTTTCATGTTTTGATTCGTTTAATTTCTTAATTTTCAATATCCATCGTTATTGTTTTGWTGACGCCACCTATAACACGTCTYATTTTTTAAATATAGTTTTGGAAAATTAATTTGAAATTATCACTATCTTTTAAAATATTTTCTTGAATTATCGTCGATTAACATTTTTCACTATCACAAACATTTAGATTGGTTTCATGTTTTTGAGCTGGAATAAAAATAAAAATCAAAAAAAATTTGTATTATTGTTTTTACATTTTTATTTTTTGGTTTTACCTAAACTAAATATATTATGATTATATATAATTATAAGTGGTACAAGAAAACTGTAAATTTAGGGTTTTTATATTTTTATGTATTTTTTTTTTTACGGCATATACGGAAAATTGTATGCAAAACTATAGTTTTAAAATCATACATTTTAATTTTATGCACACCAAACGAATCGTCCCAACATCCCTTTTTCATAYACATTATGTTCCAATATCGTATAAGAACCACACATTTGCGTCCGAAGAAATTTAAATGACTATATGCTAATAATATTATACGTCCGATGTAAATAAATTATTTTTCTTCCCGTATAATACAAACTTAGAACTGTCAATAGCATTGAATAATGTACTGYTAAAGGTACGTTAAAAATTTGTTTCATTATTACATAATATAAATAACAATATTATATTATATACAAATTTTGGTTTATGACGTTTATCGTTATTACACGTATACTATATTATATTCTACATTGAATTAAAATATTATTTTTGTCGTTTTATATAAAAATATTTAAAATAAATTTAAAAAACATAGCTATATAAATATAGGTAAGGTTTAGACTTTAGTTGTTATATTATGTTATTATTATTTATTTGTGGACTAAAAACAATTTAAATGAAACAATTTCGTCATTTTTATATTTGACTATTACTACGAATTTTTATGCAAGTATAGTTATTATGTTTATTATTAGTACCTACATAAGTAAATCTATTTCACGAGTTTCAAAGATTTGTTCGATAGATGATAGTCCAATACTCAAATCAATTACGAATTAAAGAAAGTGTAATTTCATAATCAGATAATCAGAACGCAATTAGTATATAGTCGAATTTAAAACCTGGTTGCTAATCGTAGGCTGCAGCCACCAGCCACGTTAAACTGTGAGGAGCTTGTAAAGAGCTTCGATACTCGCTTATTTAAATTGTAGACTGCGGGTACTATAAAGAACCTGAAACATGTTATATTTTCACCATTTATTTTTACTTTTAATGCGGTGAGTCTTTATTATTTAAACGACTCCGGACTCAAAGGTCTTTATAAATATGATTAACAATTTTACTAGATATTAATAAAACATAAAAAATTATTTTTTAACAAGAAATTTATCATATGATTGATATCATTAAAACAATTGTAGAGTCTGCAGTAATTATTATAGTTTAATACGCTATAAATACCTATAAAGTATTCGTAAAATATTTAAACTTATGAATAGGTTAACGTTAAAAATATTCTTCTGCATTTTTTTGAAATAGAATTTCCTCAATTTTAGATTCTAAGCGGAGCGATATATTGATTTTACCATGATGTGTGGTTTTATTTTTGTCTGTCATCACGTTTTAGGGCAGTAAAAATGCTTCGATTTTCGTCTTCAGTTCCTTGTTAGATCAGAAAGTGAATGTAGTTGGTACTTTGAGGAGTCAAAAGTACAAAATTCTAAATATTTTTCTAAAAATTCAGGATATATAAATTAAAAATTAAAGAAAAAACGGGAATTTTTACGCACATCAGTTTTCGACRAAATCGATTTTGGTTTTTGACGTAACATTAAAATAAAAGACCATAGATACATGAAATTTTCTCCGAATGTTCATATAAGTATATTCTATACACTATGCAATTTTCAAAATTTTCAACTTAAGTTGAACTATTAATAGGCATATGCAATTTTCGATGATATTTAATTTTTTTTTTTTGTAAATGAATATCGATAAAAATGAATTTGTTGGGTGGAAGAACTTGAAAATTGAATATAAGACTCCTAACATATGTTTAAAATAGCAGTCGAAGTATAAAAGTAATACATACCTAGGCACACTTTTTTTTTACAAGCATTCAAAGATTTCAAAGTTTGAATTTTAACAAAATACGTAAAAATCACGAAAATTCGCAAATTATTTAAGCTAGAAATTCGTAAAAATTTTCTTTTTAAATCTAAGATTTGAAAATTTAATTCAAGGTTTCTTATAAGTTTGTCTACCTTAATCAAAAATCAAAAAATAAAAATAAAAATGTCCACCGGAAAGTCAAATATTTTAATAAGTAATAATATATCCTAGACAGATAAACCGTCTCCGCTCAGAATCGTTTTTCGTATACAATGATATAATATTATAGGATTAAAATTTAATTCCATCCATTACAGTAACCCATTGTTACTTACTGTACAGCAGAGTGATATCCACTTTTCCGCTTTTTTTCGGTGGAGGGGGGTCTGTAATAATTCTATCTATTTGCACCTTTGTACTAATTACAATATGGATCAACTAAAAACGTGTTGTTGGACTTTCCATAGATTTGCAGTACCTACTTATTAATTATTATAATAACATGGAATAATGCTATACATTATAAATTATAATATATTATATTATAATATTATAGACCTKGAATAAATCAATACAATTTACAAATTTGTTATTTAATAGTGATCTAAATAGCCCATTTTCGTTCTTAACTATAGTCATAAAACTAAAAGGTAACAATAATAACATGATAATACTTATGATATAGTTTTAGGGATATTTATATCGGTGAAACCTGAAAGCGCAAATGCYGCAAATGGACCTTTTTTTCGATAACTCAAAAGCGCAAATTTGTTTTGCGCTTTTGTACCTTGGTAGTGGGATAAAAGCGCAAAATTAAATTGTAAATCTATAGTCATCTCCAATACATAAATTTAGATGGAAAAAAATTTCCAGATCGGAATACTTGAACTTGATGACAGTTGGCTTCAAATTTTACATTTAATTTGGAGGTACCTACTCATTATTATATTAGTTTAATTTTAAAATATTTATGATACTTGTTTAACTAATTTAAAATAATACTCAAAATTATAATTTTTATTTTCACTAATTTTTTAAACTTATTTTAATTTCATTTTAAATGTTTGATTAAATATTAATAATAACGATGATTTTAATAAAACACACATTTTTATGATATTGATTTGCGGCGCTTATGGGTTATTAAAAAGGAATTTTTTTTGCGATTGTGGATTAAGTATTTTTGCACTTTTGGGTCATATTTTGCACTTATGGGCTACAGCCATTTATATCAACTAAATAACAATCCATTCTATAAATAGTATCAGTAGGTACAATAATATATTTTATTTTATTTGACATCACGTGAAAATCGTAAACAATTTTTTTCAATTTTTCTATAAGACCAAATATAGTTCTTAACGACATTATATATTATACCTATACCTACATACATAACGTAAAAAAAATTTTTTTATGATGGGGGAGGATGCGATGATACTATTAACTTTCAAGTATTAATAGTTGGACTTCCATTAATTATCTTACAAACAGTCATAATAATATTATCTTATATCTTATGCATTCATATAATATGAATATTAAATACTAGTTTTAAAATATAATATATAATATATATTTTTGTTTTGTTATATGTTATTAACCAGATGTCAAATCATAAAATATTTCTATTAGCTGTTTTAATGTATTGATTATTGCTTTTATAAGATTTTAATTCTTTTAATTCTTAGCTATTAGAAAAGTAGATTATTCATTAATAATTKTAATTAGTATTAGGATTTAGGATTAAAAAAAAGAAATGAGTGTATAATAAATTTACATACCAACAATTATTTATACATAACATTATATATCAGGTTTCAGTAAGTAATAATATCTATTGGAGTCC